CGGGGCTTGCCACGCCCATGTAACAGCCGCTGCTACTGAGCTGTCTCCGTCCGTGAGACAGCGTGTGCTACTGCTGCCCGCACCCATTTGACAGCTAGCGGTGTCGCTGTCGCGTGGGTTTATAAACCTAAACCTGCACTTACTCGTCGATGTCTTCCAGCGTCAGGACGGGCAGCGGGGCACTACTGATCCGCTGAGGTGCCGGCGGGGCCCCGGCGCTGGGCCCGGCACTGCCCAGTCGGGCCCGCGGGGCCCACAGCACCGCGGGGCCCATGGTAATCGGCGCGGCCGGTGGCACCCATGGTCCCGCCGGGAGAGTCGGCATCGGTTTAGACCTAAAATGTTATGGATACATGCATTACGCGTATCGATATTGGAAAGATTTATCTTAGCGGAGACAAGCACTCCAATTCACGCGTCTGTATGACATTGTATAATGATGCATTGCTAGTTGAGAGGCATGCGTGCACAGTTAATTGACATGAAGGCAAAAGTCAGTGAAGCAGATTGTCATTTTTACTGCAAGAACCACACCTTTGTGATGACTATGAGCTTACAGAACTAGAAAAGCGAGCTTAAAGCTTGGAGTGTGTTTGTGCTTGGCCGTGTATTCGCAATTATTGCGGGAAGATGTTGTAACAGAAGTCAGAACATTCAGAACAGAAGTCAGAAATGTAGAAGTCAGAACATTCGAGAAAATAGAATAAGTTTAAAGCATGTAGTTTTACGGTTTTCCAGCAAAAGAGTGGTTGTCAGCTGATGCGTTTTAGGGAAAGGTAAAAGCTTTGAATGGCACAGACGCTCCAGTAAAATAACTTATTGAAAAGAGAAGGTGTTTTGTGTTAACACTGCGGCAACGTTCTTTTTAAATCGTGTAGACTTATCCATTAATACAAATATATTATTTTAGTTTTGGCAACAAACCACTTTTTCGTAATATATGGAGAGCCGTTCATACAAAAGTCGGAGAAGCTGAAGGCTTTAATTTTTAAATAATAGGCGAGTAGCAATTGAGACAAGCGCAACAATATAGAAACTAGACAGCGGAGAGTATACAAGAAACCTGAGGTAACTTAGGTAATAAATAATATTAGACAGCCACACCAGGCAAAAAGACAAAACCAGCGCCCCTAGCCTAACCCCTTAGCTGCAGGACAGACGAAACTGAACACCCGCTACCCTTGACGGACAAACTGACACTCACCGACCCGGACAAAACCAAAACAGCGCTGCTGTGAAATGGTATCTATTGATGGTTGGACGTATATCTAACAATTAACTCTGCGCCGTATTGGGTGGCATGATCTACAGATACTTATAACTGTGTTATAGGAATCTTCCTTCCACATATAGTGAAGGATGACGGACGCTGTCCCCAAACTCGGATAGGATTTATGATTCATGTTATCTATGGATTTATAGATATGTTCAGCGGCTGGACGGTGAGCCACATCACAACAATATCAATCAAACGTTGGTTATATGGGGACGAATTTGTGGAATAAATAGTCGCAAACCATAAGCAAAAAGACAAAAAGTAAAAAATCATACCCATACTTATATAATCTTTTATATGGATACATTTGCAATATCGCCGTTTTGCCACCAGTTAGCCAGTCAGGTGATACTGACCGGTCTCGCTGTCACCGGTGCCGCGCCCACTCACCAGTTGGGATCAGCCGGAGCTCGATCCACCGGAGCGGACAGGAGCACCTCCGCGGGCACGTGCGCAGTATGGTCGTGCTCTTCCAGGAGCGTGACCAGGTCGCTCTTGTTATTTGGTTCCGCTGGTGGCATCTTTACACGGCGAGCGCTTGGGCACTTGGCTGGGACGGCCGAAATTTCTAAACGACACAATTTTTGTCGTTATGTTTGACATGAAAATTCGGCAAGCCTCCCAGATAAAGCTAACTTAAAACAAAGCAAACGGTTGATACGGGATCTAATTTACAAAGAAAAACGGCGAGAAAAATGAGTTAAATGGCGCACGTTTGAAAGAGCTAGACATCGGGCAGCCGCTTTTGAGCAGCAATATGCCTATGTAATTTTCAGCTGATCAGAAGTGCGAAAAGCTGAGTCCACGTCCACGGAACTAATAGTTAAGAAACACGTGAACCATTTTTGATAGGTCCGTTTCAGATAGCTTGACTAGCAAGAGCTGCTTTCTTTCCACAGAGTGCCAAAGAACGCCACTTGAGCTGAAGCAATAAATCCCATTCGAAGAACAGCGAAAGCATGAGTAAAGGTAACATAACAAGAATAAAGCATGCGTAAGAAAAAATCATATCCACGCACAGCACAATGAACAGCACATTCCCCCTTATACGCTTCACCAGAACATCACTGTGAAAATCAATAAAAAATATGTAATTGAAAGAAGTTTCCGACATATGCCTCCCTCCATGCAACGCCAATAAGTTATTTGTTTATTGTTGGGCTTTACTTTGTTTGCTAAGAAGCCCATTGAAAAGGATTCACTGCGATGATGCAATCGCAACGTATCATGTTCATCCACCTACCACTTTTGTTGAGCGTTGATATGCATCATATTATATTTTTCTGACGTTATACGGGAAAAGTCAAGATGTGAATTTTTTTAACTAATTGTTTTTACATCAAACATGAATCTGTTCCAGCTCAATAATAGCAGTAGTTACATTCATAGCTACTCAATCGTTTAACACATTGAGCAAGTCACTCACAAAAAAATGACATGTTTTAACCCGCGCACCGACGGGGGTCTGCGCCAACTTCGCACCGACGGGGGGGGGGGCGGATGAACGCCCCCCCTGAGATCTCGAGAACGAAGCAAGATAGCGACAAGCGGTAAACGGCATCGGATACGCACGGCCAAGATCTACAATTTTTACAAAGGTCATTTTCAGGTCAGGTCAAAGATGACGTCACAGGGGTCGAAAAAGTCAAAATGGCGGCGCTAGATATGGAGAGAGTTTTTCTCGAATAACTTTCGAATTAGTCAAGATAGGAACAAACTAAGGGCATCATCGTGATCCTCTTGTCAATCCGCATCGAATGATATATATGTTGACCTCGAAAGGTCAAGGTCAAAGGTTGACCTCAGGTCACGTGACCTCGAGGTCATCATGTATATCATTCGATGCGTCTTGACGAGCTGAACACAATGAGACCATCCACGCGTCTGTATCTTGTTCCTGTACGGAGTTATTGGCCAAAAACCTTTGGTGACCTTTGATGACGTCACATGACCTCACAGCTGCCCAACAGCAAAACAGACCTCAAGGTAGTGAAGGTTGATCGTATATGAAGTCATGTATGGTATATGGGGCCATTCCGACCCGTTTTAGTGGTAAAACAGGGAGTTGATTTTTCCCCCATTGACTTATAATGGGGAGGTCGCGAAATTGACCTGACCTTAGGTCACCGATATCAAAATTCCGAGATATACAAATTGTAGCTACTAATGACCTAATAATATCCTGCGACTTTCAAAGGCCTCCAACATCTACTGTAGCTCTGGCACGGTGACAAAGTTGCAAAAAAGTGACTTGAGGTTGGGTCATTCAAAGTGACCTGGTGACCTGACCTTAAAAGGTAGGAGGTTCAAACTTGCACACCATGTGTAAAATTGATGAGGTTATAGTCATACCAAATTTCGCGGCGCTACGCGCCGCGGTTTTCCCGCTATTCGCGAAAAACCTCAGGGGGGGTGGATATCCGCCCCCCCCCCGTCGGTGCGCGGGTTAATCGACCCTTCATGCGTATCCAAAGAGGGTAAATAGCATCAAATATAATCTTTTGTAGCTGAAGTGTGACAGCTAAGTGCGGACTATTTCTTGGCGAGAAATAAGAAGGTATGGTGTTGAAATCAATCGATACCGTTTGAGTGTTTCTTAGGAGGAAACGACGCCATTTCTTTTTGCGAAATCAACTGTGTCAATCTAACCGAATGAAATGTGACACGCTGAGGTTTGTTGCATAGTCGTCCATTTAGTTGGCCTTTAACAATGATTTGACTTGATGTGCAGCTTTGGAATAAAATATAAAAATAAGTGGTGCTTAAAATATAGTCGCAGCTGGTCACTGTCAATCGGAATTGCACCTTTCCTTTGGAGCCTCGTTCTTGCAACATCTAGTGCATAATTTATTCGGACGCTCGATGTGCTCTGCACGTGCACAGACCTCAGACAGTGGAACAATCACCTACGTAAGTAATATTAACAATTTATAGACCATAGCTTTAAAAAAAACTTACAGTGAAAGATCTTTTTCAGATGAGGGGAAGTGTTGGACTGACGAAATGGTTGAACCTTTTTTTTACACACAACTGGCAAAAAATAATCGGAATCGAGCCAGACAAATGGCTGTCACTTTATGAAACTGAGATCACTTAAGCATGCTTATTTAATATCGACGGCTATTTTATCCATGCATCACTGCTAGACTTGCATTTTGCCTCAATAGTACAGCAGCAGTCATCTTCTTTAGTGCGGCCGCGCCGTTTCACCCCGATCACGTCACCCGCCAATACGCCAAGTGCCCGGTATTTCCGAAGACTGCATGATCTCAATCATCTTGGCAATGAAGTAAAAGCAACAGATAATTGTTCAAGCATGTGTGATTGTCAGCTACTTCCCACTCAAACGGAAGCTCTGTCAGCCAATCAGCCGGTATCTCACGGCTCGAAATCAGAGATGTTCCTGCCTGCAATCATCTCCATTGAGATAGACCGGCTCGCGCGCCACTGACAGGGCCGATAGTTAGGCCGAATATCTCGGCATGATATAGAATATCTTGTCGCAGCGAAGTGCTGGAACAGTCGATAAAAACGAGGGAGATAGACGCGAGATACACGCGAAAAGTACGATACGATAAACGGAGTAAGATATGGATAACGCTCAGATACCGACTGCAAATGTTTATTAACGCCGCCACGGAGCTGCGTTGGACCACTCTGGTCCGGGCGGAGTTCCAGGCACCACCAGCTCGGGGTCTCTCAGCGTGCAAGACGCTCCACTCACCGGAGATACAGGCGTGTCCTCAGAGATACAGCTCTCTCCGCGATACCACAGGCCAGGCGATCAATTAGCACTAATCTCAGCCGCCCGCGCGCCGCCGCCGCCGGCCGGCCGGCAAAATGGGCGGCGATCACGTGACACGGCGCCGGCGAACGCTGCGCTCTGATTGGCCGCCGCAGGGCTGAGCCGCATATGCCGCAAATCAGCTGAATTTTACGGCGGCACTAAAGCGCCAAGGGCGCTATCACTGAGCAAATATGGCCGCCGCGCCGCCGCCGCCGCCGCCGCCGCTGCGGACGGCGGGGCGGTGGACCTGATGACCCCAGCTCAGCGGTGGGTGGCGTCACCGCGTGCCAGTGGCAGAGGGAGCGAACTCAGCACGAGCCGGTCCCAGGGGGGATTAGTGGAGCCGCTAGAGGCCAGACGCCGCTCCGAATTGGCGCCATAAGACAAAGAGGTGATCGAAAAGCGGGCGGCCTTGCCGCAATCGACGGTGTTAGCTCTACTATTCGGCATCGGAGACTAACAGAACAACGTACTGTTTTTTGACTAACAAAAAAAAAAAATCAAATTTTCATCGATTTTCATCGATTCATCGAGGCAAATTTTCATCGGCAAATTTTCTGCCCTGGCCCTTCAGGGCAGGAAACCATATGCCATTGGCGCCAAATGCCTGGATCCACCACTGTTTAAAAACGGTATCCCATGATTTCATAACTGGCATCTGTCCGTCCGCTCATCAGTGTTCAGATAGATGGCCCATCGTCATATTTGCAAAGTCATCTTGATAAAAAAGAGATGACCCATGGGCAATGGACAGTGAAAGTCTGGCCATACGACTGTCCCGGTTGCAGAAGGCTCAGATCGCCAGATGCCGTTAGCGGGGCGCAGAGACGTTACGTCAAATATTTGAGCGAAAAGCCACCTTCACTGACGTCGAAACTTAAGTCCTAGCATTAAAAGGTCATTGGCGTTGCATGGAGGCAGCCTACCACACATTCAACCCTACACATGTTCACGGGGGTATACACGGGAGTACAGTGGCTCAGCATCATCAGTTGCCATCAAGTACAGACTACAGTGACTGGTAGACCACAGTGGCACTGTTCACCATTCACCCAGTACATGCTACAGAGTGCCGTAACTGCCGAGATGAGAGTGGATCTGATTCCACAGAGCTTTTTAAGAACTAGATACTGAAGCACCGCCGGCTCCTCAGCTCTCGCCAAAGCTTCACCTCCCTGGTCAGCTAAGAACTGACCTCGATTTGGCTCTCGGCAGCTGAAGGAACCGACGCCTGACTGCCTGCAGGAGCGCTGAAGTGACTCAGCAGCGTCTGGTGGGCCTCTTGGAGAGCACTCTTCCACACGTCCGGCGTCTCCGGCGGTCCTCCTCAGAGTGTAACGGTCCCCTTCTGGTGGCCCCCGGTAGGCCCTCTGGTAGCCTTCCCCTTCCCATACCCTCCGCCGATTGGCCTACTGGAAGGAGGGTGGCCGGCAGCCCCCGGCGTCGGCCGCAGGACCGTTCCGCGCTCCTTCTGACGCGGGGGAAGAGCATGCTGTACCAGTCGCAGAACTGTTGCTAAGACCGCTTCAGAACTCTGTTTTTTTTTCTGGCAGTTATGAGGGGCCTTGCTGAATTGAAGTTTTCTTGTTCCCTCTAACAAGTGCTCTTCGCCTTTGCCAGGAGGAAGATTCACTCGGCCTGCTCCAGCCACTCGCATATGACAACACATTGGTCATGTGCCCACTGCCCTCTCTTTATTTGTGCTATTTTAGATGGCCTGTTTCCCGTTTTCGAACACATACATAGGTATATGCTGTCGAAAGACAGGCCTATCCCTGAGCACTGAGCAGTGAGAGCAGCTTCCCCGTGGCCGCCGGCCCGCCTCCGACTGCAGGAGGATTAGGTATCCACTTTCAGATGTCATCAACACCGACACAGTTTTGGCGCCAAAAACAAAGACGTGAGCTGACCAAGCGCGACGGTAGTGAGACTCTCAAGTCTCAGCATAAGACTTTCTGAAGAATGATGAGTTGTCACTTGGCCATGTGCTCAACAGACGAAAACATCCATTCTCGCCTATGCAGACTCATTAAAAGACTTCCACATAAGCCTATAACTACCTGCAGATATCGGCCTGCTACAGTGATGCGATTGCTTCCAGGAATTAAATCAATTTAAAAATCAGCCGTTACCTCTCATGGCATACGCCTCCCGTGTCCATTGATGAGACACATTCCTCATGTGAGTGTTAATATACGGCTAGAGCTTCTAGCTTTATTCCAGCGCCAATCAAACTCTAGCTTGAACATTTATGCTTTACAGCGAATTCTTACATACTTAACCCTATTCCTGGCGGGGGGGGGGCCTCAGGAGCCCCCCCCCCTGAGGTTTTTTTGTTATTTCTCCCAAACGCGTTGAGCTAGGAAGCTCAAATTTTCCGACTTTTCCTAAAAGGCTTCTACGCAACATGTCTGAAAATTTTGAGTTGATCTGATCCCAGGTCAGGTCACCAGAGGCGGTTTGGTGACCCTACCTCAGAAAAGTTTGCAATCACGTCAGAGCTAGAGTTTTTGACCGATCAATTTCTTCTCTTCAGGCTTTAGTTAGGGTACCAGTATGTGCAATTTGTATATCTCGGAATTTTGATATCGGTGACCTAAGGTCAGGTCAGTTTCGCGACCTCCCCATTATAAGTCAATGGGGGAAAAATCAACTCCCTGTTTTTACCACTAAAACGGGTCGGAATGGCCCCATATACCATACATGACTTCATATACGATCAACCTTCACTACCTTGAGGTCTGTTTTGCTGTTGGGCAGCTGTGAGGTCATGTGACGTCATCAAAGGTCACCAAAGGTTTTTGGCCAATAACTCCGCACAGGAACAAGATACAGACGCGTGGATGGTCTCATTGTGTTCAGCTCGTCAAGACGCATCGAATGATATACATGATGACCTCGAGGTCACGTGACCTGAGGTCAACCTTTGACCTTGACCTTTCGAGGTCAACATATATATCATTCGATGCGGATTGACGAGAAGACCACGATGATGCCCTTAGTTTGTTCCTATCTTGACTAATTCGAAAGTTATTCGAGAAAAACTCTCTCCATATCTAGCGCCGCCATTTTGACTTTTTCGACCCCTGTGACGTCATCTTTGACCTGACCTGAAAATGACCTTAGTAAAAATTGTAGATCTTGACCGTGCGTATCCGATGCCGTTTACCGCTTGTCGCTATCTTGCTTCGTTCTCGAGATCTCAGGGGGGGCCGAATCGGCCCCCCCCCCCCCGCCAGTTTCTTGTCCCGGCGGAGCCCGCCAGGAATAGGGTTAAATCCTGCCATTGTTCAAGAGATTCCCAGTTCGACCTATAGATATATGAATTATGATCCCGTTCCTTGCCCAATGCCTACTCCATTTGAAACTTCACAGATATCAGCTCTAACTCTAGCATTGGCGTTGCATGGAGGCAGGCTGGGTTAGCACGTACATTTTCTGGCCCATTCAAAAAGGTACACGAACGGTTCGGCATCATCAGCAACCACCATCATATACGATTGTACGTATTCCTTAAACAACAGAATAACTGTTGACGAGCTAAGCTAGAACATTACCTCCTCTCGGCTCTCAACAGCTGCAACCCTGATGCCGTATACTGAAGCGTTTCAGTCAGACAGCAGCCTCTGGTTGGCCTCTCGAGGAACACTCTTTCATACTGCTGGCGTCTCCGTCGGTCCTCCGCAGATAACGGTCCTTCCTGGTAGCCTTCCCCGCCCCCCCCCCCCAGATCGGCCTACAGGGGAAGCAGGGTGACCGCCAACCACCGGCGTCGGCCGCAGGACCGTTCTGCACGCTCCTTCTGACGCGGGGGAAGAGCATGCTGCACCAGCCGCAGGCGTCTTCACCGGCTGTGGAACAGATCTCTGAATAAGGTTTTGATATCTGCGGCTGCTAGTTGCTGACTAAGTAATCAACATCAAACTCATTGGTGATGCCAGCTATTCCTATTTAGTTTAGATAAGCTGAGTGACCCCTGGGTCATGCCATCACTTCTTAACCCTCGCCGGCCGAGGGGGGGGGGCGGGTGCCGCCCCCCCCCCATAGGGTTTTTTCGCGATAGCTCCAAACACGCTGGCGATAGAGAGCTGAAACTTGGCATACCTGACCTTTGATCCAAGCCGGATCTTTTGACACCAACCGCATTTTTGGGTCAGGTCAGGTCACTGACCTATGACGTCATAAGTGAACCTCTGCACGGTCTTCAGATGTCGCAACTTCGCAACGCCCTCACTGCCAGAGGAGATGTCACAGGGAAATGAAACTTGCAGGATCTAGTATCCATTATGAGTCCCACAACTTGTATATCTCGGATTTTTCCTAAAGGTCATATGAGGTCAGGTCATTTTCGTGACCTCACCATTATAAGTCAATGGGGAAAAATGAAAACTGCTATTCTGGCGCCGGGAACGATCTCCAACTATCTCAAGCACACAGAATCGTGATTTGATGCACTCCTTGCAAGGTTAGATGCGTCACTTTTGCAATGTTGACCTTGCGTGACGTCATTTATGACGTCATCAAGGTCAAATTAGTTTTTCGTCAATAACTCTTGATCAAATTGAGCTAGCGAGTCGGGAAAGGCACCAATGGACTCAGGAAGGCCTGCCGAATCGAATGATATGCGACATGACCTCTTTCGACCAGCTTCGTGACCTGGGGGTGCTGACCTGACCTTGACCTGAGGTCAACATCCCAAGTTGACCTGACCCGGACAAAAAGTATATCATTCGACGCGCCTGAGCGAGGCGAACACGATGCTGCCAAAATCGGCGCTCTGCGGCCGTTTTTTGCGAAGTTATTCACCAAAAACTGAACCGTACCCTGGGGCACTTGACCTGACCTCAGAGGTCACCGGTTGACCTAGGACCTTAAAATCGGGTACCAATCTCTGCGTCTCGTAACGGCGCACACGCTCGTTTTTTCCGCGACGCGCTAGCTCCACCAGGGGCGAAACGGCGAGGGGGGGTCGTACCCGCCCCCCCCCCCCCCCCCCTCGGCCG